GATCTACACGGGGACGGAGAGAAGTGGGCGATGAGCAACATCATTTGCTAGCAGGGTTCTTTGTCGGTGTTGCCACGGACGCTATACGCTTGAGACAACCAGTCGCCTACCCACCGGGGGCCGTTGTCGATTTTAGGCACCGCCTGCTGATTGGCATTGTGCCCTTTTTTCCCGTACCCACTTCGGGCGTGCCCAGAGAGTGAGGCTGAGAAGGTCCGTTTTTTTGGTCAAGCTGGCTCCTCCCGGCGCACGCGTCAGCCGCACTGGTCTTCGATGCAGCCGAGCATATAAGAGGAAACGGTGTAGGGTGTAGGAGGAGGTGGGCCCTGGATGGCCTGCTGTTCATCCGGAGTTGTTATCTTGACGGCCCCCAGGCTGGGACAGCTGTCTCCCGGAGGTCGAGCACAAACGTGAATAGAGAGAGAGAGAGGGAGAGAGGGCGATAGAGTGAGAAAGAGACAGAAAGAGGGAGAGAGATATACAGAGAAAGAACAACAGATGAGGCGATCAAGTCGCCCCTGTCTCTACTCAATAGGCTCGAAGTCTGAGGACGGGACTCGTCGCAGGCCACTCCTGGCCCCTAGCCCCACAGACCCCCCTCGAAACAGCACACCGGCCGCTCCGGAAAACGCTAGTTTTCTTAACCATTGTTTTGCCGATCGGCGCGGGCCCTCGCCCCCCCTCCCCCCCTCCCCCCTGGAGTCCTTCGTGGCGGTTTCTGGCGCCTGGTTCGAGCAGGTGGGGTCTCCCCCACAGGACGCACTGTCTCAAACAGTCGCGCTGCGCAGAGGTCCGGAGCCAGACCCCTCCCGCCTCCCCCCCCCCTCCCACCCAATGTCGAAACGCCGAATCGGAAAACGGTCGCAGAGAGGGGCCACTCGGGGCCTTAGTGGGCCCCGGAAACGGCAGGGCCGTTTTTTCACCGTTTCCGAAAAAGTGTCCCTTGAAAACGGAAACGACAAAAACGGCAACCTGAAACGGCAACCAAAACGGTGCCAGGATTGGAACCAGAGCGGGAACTTGCAGAAGAACCGCGACGGAACCGGTAACGAAAACGGCGTCGGAACCGGAAACAAAAACTGCAAAACAGAACCGGTAAGACAAACGGCCCTGTCGTTCCCAGGGCCCACGAAGCGCCCGCCCACTGTCGAAACGCCGCATCGGAAAACGCTCACAGAGAGGGGCCACTCTCAGGAGGGGAAAAAACACACAGACACAATTAATCGTCGATTCCCAGGAAAAGATGGGAAAATATGGGAAGTGGGGGGGAAGACAGAAACCCCGAAAATATGGGAAAATATGGGGAATATGTTTATTTGTGTGTATTTATTTGTGTGTCCTGGGGCCCCTTCACACTCGGGGCCGCGCCCCTTTGACGCGGATGGCCGCCCCCCCCACCGCGCCTCCCCGCGGGCTGCGGGGGGGAGCGGCCCGCCCAGAGGTGCCCCCTCTGCGGTCGGGGGGGGCCCTTTGCCGCACGGGGGCAGGGCAGGGCGGAGGAGGAGGAGGAGGAGGAGGAGGAAGAAGGAGGAGGAGGCGGAGGAGGCGGAGGGGGAGGAGAAGGAAAACGAGGAGGAGGAGGAGGAGGGAGAAGAAGGAGGAGGAGCAGAGGGAGGAGGAGGAGGAGGGAGGAGGAGGAGGACGAGGGAGGGGAGGAGGAGGAGGAGGACGAGGAGGGAGGAGGAGGAGGGAGGAGGAGGAGGAGGAGGAGGAGGACGAGGAGGAGGACGAGGAGGACGAAAAAGAAGGAGGAGGAGGAGGGCACGCGGCGGCGGGCGCCTCCCCCCCCTCCTCGGCGCGCGCGCGGAGAGGTGCGCCCGCGCTCGGCGGCGCCCCGGCCGAACCCGCGGTGCCGGCCCTCCCCGCCGCCGAAGGGCAGGGAGGACTGGCCGCCCACGGGCGCGGGCGCGCAGCGCAACGCTCGACTAGATGTAAGAGTGACCTTGCGCCGGAGTGACTTTGTGGCGCGGGCGCAGATGGGTGCCCAGATGGCTGAGGCACGAAGCAGGCGCAGCGGCTCCAGGCCATCCATAACTGGGGGAGCTGTGGTCCTTACCCCCCTGGGGGACCCATCGATTTCGACACCCCTCTCGAGAGATCGTCGGTGCGACGGGTTCCCCCAGGGGGGTAAGGACCACAGCTCCCCCAGTTGTGGCTGGTCGTGGCTTGCGCGCCTCAGTTTGGTCCCCCGCGGCCCCCAAAAAGGCGCGCACCAAAGGTCACCCTTACCCAGGGTCACTCTTGCGTATATATATATATATATATATAGCCGAGTAACGCGCGAGGGGGCAGGGGCGCCGGCCGCTCAAGGGGGGCATGGCCCTCTGCGGGAGGCACGTTCAGTCCACAAGTCGTCAGGGGGCGATGCTTTTGGGCCATGTTGGCATATCCGGGGGCGTGTTCTCGATGCTTTTTCGCGGTTCTTTCACGATCCGCCCGAGCAGGAGGGCATGCCCGACCTCACGCTGGCCAAGAGATCGGGCCTCGGCGGCCACGCTAAGGGATGCGGCGGCCGGCGTCTCGCAGGAGCGCGCCGATCTCTTGCCAGGCCCCGAAGCCCCAAGGAGGGGCCTCTGGCCCTCGTGCCCCTTCGCCCACCTGCACCAGCGAGCACCGCCGGCGTCGAGAGGGTATCCCTCAGGAGGGGAAAAAACACACACACACACACGAAATGAATCGTCGATCCCCCAGAAAATATAGGAATATAAGGGAAGTGGGGGGGAAGACAGAATCACCGAACATATAGGGAAATATTGGGTTTTTTTTTGTGCCAATGTATTGCGAAGGCCTTACGGCCGGTGCCGCCGACCCTGAATGGCGACGACGACGACGACGACGACGACGACGACGACGACGACGACGACGAGCGCTCTTGGGGGCCTCTTGGGGGTAGTTTGTGGGCCTCTTGGGAAGCTCTTAGGGGCCGCTTGGAAGCCTCGTGGGGGCCTCTTGGGGCTTCTTGGGGGTCTCTTGGAGCAGGCCTGGGACGTCTTGGAGGCTTCTTGGACGGTCTTGGGGCTATCGTGTGCGTTTTCGGCCGATCTTTGGGCGACTCGGGGCCCTCTTGGGCCGTCTCGGGGGCCATCTTGGGCATTCGGACCTCATTTGGAGTGTTTTCGAGGTTTCTAGGCCGCCCGAGGGAAAAACGAATCTGCCCCCCCACCCCCCCCGGGACCCCCCCGGGACCCCCCCCGGGACCCCCCGGACCCCCCCCCCCTGGGGAAGGGATCAAAGGGAAGGGGCTTCCCTTCGACTCGATTACGACACTGCTAGATTTTTCTCTCGCTCACGAGCTTGAGAAGGAAGCTGCAGGGAAAGGGGACGACGGAGGCGACGACCGACGGAGACGACGACTCGAACAGCCAAGCCCCTCGCACACGCCGACAGGGTCGGCGGAGTTGTGTGTCCCAGTTCCCCTTCACGCTGGACTGTGCTGTCCTTGATATTGCGCCTTCCAGTGGGCCCCTGTGGGAAAGGACGCGGCGCCAGCGGGGACCCCAGGCAGGGACCGCCCGAGTGCAGGAGCTGTTCGGGGACTGGTGGGGGCGCGTTCAAAGGGACACGGCGCAAGCGTGGACCCCAGACAGGGACCGCCCGAGTGCAGGAGCTGCTGGGGAATTGTGGGGGGGGGCGTCGTCGTCGGCGTCGTCGTCCTTGTCGTGCCTGCCTCCTGTTCTCGCTCCTCCCTCGCAGGGCAGCAGCCGGAGAGGGGCAAGGCACGGGGTGCCGCAGGGCGCACGGGGAGTGCGCACGATGAACATGTATCGAATCGGCGGGAGATCGCCTCTGTCCCGCCTCTTGCGGCAGCCCTCGGCGCCCAGAGGGTTCTGGGCAGCCTCGGCAGTTGCCTCGGACAGGCTCGGGGATGGCTTCTGACGGCCTCGGACAGCCGTGGCACGGCCTCGGGTGGTCTCTGCTGGCCTCGGATGTGGCGCGGCTGGCCGGGTCAGAAGGGGGCAGAGACGGTCACGAGCTCGGGGGGGGGGTATACTGCCGGAGGAACAATGGTCACCGAACCCTCTGTTCGTGTCCACTGCTTGGATGTGCTGGCCTGTCCGTGCCCCGAGGCCGCCTCGCGGCAGTGTGCGAGCAGGGCTGTCGGACGAAAGTGGCCTAACAGGACCTCTCGCTTGGGGAGTTGTTTGGGTTGGTTCTGTCTTGTTGCGCTTGGGCGGGGGCGGACAGTTCCTGCACCCCGCCCCAGCCTGCATGATGAGGAATTTGTGGGCCCGTTGATTCCTGTCCTCACTTCAGGGCGCTCGGCTTTGTTTTTTCTCTCCCTGCCCCTTCCTCCTGTGGGTCTGGCGCTGTTTCTTGCTTCGTTCAGGCCTCTTCGTGCAGGATCCCCGCGGTCATCCCTTGGCTTCACGGATGGCAAGACGAACCGGGACATCGGCCTATCTTCCCCCCCTTTCCCTCCCTCCTCCTCCTCCTTCTCCTCCTCTTTCTCCTCCGTCTCCTCCTCCACCTCCTCCCTTCCACCTCCTCCTCGTCCTCCTCCTCCTCCTCGTCCTCCTCCACCTCCTCCCTTCCCCCTCCTCCTCCTCCCCCTCGTCCTCCTCGTCCTCCTCCTGCTCCTCCTCCTCCTCCTCCTCCTCCTCCTCCTCCTCCTCTGACGAGGACCATCACAGGCCTTTGTCCCTCCAGTGGTGGTCATCACAGGCGCCACCCTTCAGCAGCTACCATCAGACGGGCTGCCGTGGTCCCACCCCTTATCAGCAACTCCAACGGATGAAGCCGTCATTGGCATCCGAGGGGGCCGAGGACCTCCGTACGGCCCCCCTTCTCCTCCTCCTCCTCCTCCTCCTCCTCCTCCTCCTCCTCCTCCTCCTGCTCCTCCTCTCCACCTCCACCTCCACCTCCACCTCCTCCTCCTCCTTCTCCTCCTCCTTCTCCTCCTCCTCCTCCGCCTCCCCCTCCCCCTCCCCCCTCTCATCCCCCCGTCATCTCCCCCCTCTCGCTCATCCCATCCCCTCCTCGGACAGGACCTCTCGGCGTTCATGGAGCCGCCCACGCCGCTCCGGGCCGTCGACTTCCCGCAGACGCTGCGCGGGCAGCGGCCGAAGGCGGGGGGGGAGGAGGCAGTGTTCTTTTCGACCCCTCCAGCGCGATTCATGTCGGTGGCCGGTGGCTTCCGATCTCGATTCGGTTCGACTTGGGTTCCGGGCCGGGTCCCGACCTGTCCGCGGAGGCCTCATTGCCTTGCCATTTCCCGCCGATCCGGCTTCCCCGGGCTCGGCTGCCGATTTCCGCCGCTCCGACGCATGCCGATCCGATGTTGCGCCGCGGGGATCGCATTACTGTTTCGCACAACCCGAAAGTGTCCGACGCACGCCAACCGTTGCAAGGTGGCGGATTATGATCGCCGATCCGATTAATCCATTCGATTCTGGGCTCTCTCCTGGCGGGCGGGCCTGCGAGTGCGCCGCCCGTGCGCAGCGCAGCCAGACTCGTTACGACCGTGATGGGCGCGGGATTGGCCCAAGGATCCGAGGTTCCGAGCACATCGGAGCGTTTGTGTGTGTGTGTGTTTGTTTGATGTTTGTTGTTTTGCTTGTGTGTGTTCAGTTTTGTTATTCAGACAAGTGTCTATTCAGAGTCTATCGTATGAGTATTACCATTATATACATAAATGTGTACGCATATCTACACATCCATAAGGTTCATGTATAGATAAACATATGTACATATTCATCATTTACAAACATGCATGCAGAGATTCGGCCTTCGCGGTCCTTCCACAGGCCCCTGGCCTTCAAACACGATGCAGGCTGAGAGACGGGCCGGACGGAAGCCGCCCAGACCTCTGGGGGCCCTCCCTCGAAGACGCTGCAGCGCTGGCTGGCTGGGCACGGGGACGCTGCCTGGCAGGGCTTCGGGCTGCGGTCTCTCGACACCCCCCGGTGCCGCCTCCGGCGGCGCCCCCCGGGGCGCTCGGCGCTCGGCGCCCCAGGGACGGGCTCTGCCACCGCCCCGGACCACTCGGGCGGCCGATGGAAGCCGGCGCCGGGACCGGTCGGGCGGCCGGTTGAGGCCCGCCCCCGGACGACCTGCGAGGGCCGTCTGTGCACAGCCCCAGGCCTTACCCCTGGCATCGCTCGGACGTGTGCATTTTTCATTCGGCGAGGACCATCGAGGAGCATCCTTGATTATTTGGCGAAAAAACCACGCACGAAACCGAAAAAAACACAGGGAATGGACGTCCGAGCGATGGCCAGTTACCACTGATGGCTGACAGCAGCCTGTGGCGATGGTAGGCACGACTCGCCGTCGGTGCCGCCGCGGGCTGTGTCCGTTTTGGGCATGCGCTCCTTTGCCCAGCAGCGGCCGCTGTCGGATATGGACAACTCTCGCTGAGAAGTATCGCGCCAACCTTTTCCCGTACCCATGTCGGGCGTGCAAGAGGGTCGTTGTTTCCCCCGTCTCGGTCGCACGGGCAGGGGGGGTAGTTGTCGGCGTCACCCCAGCCTACTAATACTATGTCCCTCTATAGGGGGAATATTCAATAGTAAAGATTGTTTGGGGACGATTTGTTTTCAATGTTTAAGAGTGTTCTTCAGTGTTTTTGGACAATTCTCATGTTTCGTCCGAAATTATTATGTAGGGGAGCAGGCCAGACCTAATACAATGTGTGCGTCGCCGCCGCGCGCGCAGAGAAATCACATAGCATATGCTCCGTAGGGGGCTGCCCTGTGGCCATACCGCTCGGGGAACGGAACATTACGAGAAGGTATACGGTATGTTCAGGTCGGACGCGCTCCGCCAAGGAACGCACACAGCAATAATATGTCCCTCTGCGTCCCATGTTGCTGGATCCGAAGCATCTTTGGGTGCAAGCACACCGAGTTGTGTCCATAAGCGTGGAGGGCCGAATCGCCAGAAGCTTGGGTCGCCCGCTTGGGGCGCGGGAAGGTGGCCGCGCTTTGCGCATCGCGGCCTGGGCCAGGGAGCTGCCCATGTCCAGGGCTTATCGTGGAAGCCCATGCCAGGAAACACCCTGCCTGTCTCCAGGGTGCGCTGAGTTTCTTGGGTTTCGATGGTTTTGCAATGGAAAGCGTAACATTCGCACTCCACCAAAAGTCAATGGACGTCCTGGGGTTCCTACTCTGGGATCCTTGTGGCAGGTTCCTTGTGGGCCCCGGAAACGGCAGGGCAGTTTTTGTTACCGGTTGCGCTTTGCGGCTTGTTGAACTGGTTCTGGCGCCGTTATGTTCCCGGTTCCGTCGCAGGCTGTTTTTGGTCGTTCTTGTCCAGCTTCTATCCCAGAGCCGTTTTTGCGAACGTTTCCGGGAGCAGTGTTTTGATCACCGCTCTCATGTTCAATGCAGGGACAGTTTTTGAGAATGGCTAAGAAAATAGTTTGCTTTTTCTGGGGCCCACTGAGGCTCAGGGGTGGGCGTTCCATCATGGACCCCCTGTCGAACGCAGCCATCCAGTTTTCGAGCCGAAGACCGCCGCTGGAAGCCGCCCAATATCGCCGGAAACCGCCGAGGACCCCCCGAAGATCGCCGAAGACCGCCCGAAGTCGGCCCGAAGACCGCCCAGCAGCGACGGGCGCCCATGGTGGAGCACGCCACTGCCCTGACCTTCCAGAGTGCTGAAGAGCAGCACTCTAGACCTACAGTCAACCCGCGTAATAAGGACGGGCATCCTTCCCATGCCTCCTCGGTCCATCCTTGGCCACTCTCGTTGGCCGCGCTCCGCTCGAAAAGCTTCGGAGTTGGCGTCTGAGGCCCTTCCATCCTTATCGCGCATCCTTATGACATACGGGCCGACTGTGTAGACCTATCTGGACTGCTTGAGACTTCGATTTGAATTTGGGTATCAAGGTCCTCGTGCTATTTTGTTAGCGCCGGCCACGCACAGAGGGCGTCAGGGGGGAGGGGGGAAGGCTTCTCAGAAGCACCCTCTGCTCCTTAGAAGGCGCTGGCCTTCTCTGCAGACGTGAGGCTGGGGCCTTCTAAGATGCATGGGTGCTTCTAGGAAGCCTTCCCCCCCCACACCCCCCTGAGCGCCCCCAAGAGCCCTCCTTGATGGGCCAATGTTCCACCACAGCTACCAATAGGCAGGACGAGGGAGGAGGGAGGATGGGGAGGTCCTCTCCTGCCTGTGGCCGTGGTGGTGGAGGGTCGGCCCATCACTCCTGGATTGTCAGGGCGAGTCGCCCCCCGAGGGGGCCGCGGTGCGCAGGCGCAGGGCGCCGCCGCGCGTCGCGCGCACCGCGCGACTCGCGGTGCGCGCGCGGGCAGCCTGCACCGGCCCAGAGGCACCCGGCCGGGGAGGCGGACGGCCCCCCGCCCGCCGTCGCCAGGCTGCGCAAGCGGGGCGGGCCCCATCGTGCCCGAAGCTGAATTCTTACTCCTCCTCCGCTGTTTTGAGAGAAAAAAAAAAAAGATGCGCGTCAGGCGCCCGGCGGCATAATGCGCGGCGTGTCGCGAGCCCAGAGGCGGCTTGAGTTGCATTGTGTGCGCGCGTATGGACTGGCGCGCCGTGTGCGGGGGCGTGCGCGTATCGGGGGGCGCCGATCGGGCCTCGGCGTCGCTCGGACGTGTGCTCGTCGTCTCGGCCAGAGCCATCGGGGAGGAGATCGGCTCACCTCACGAAGGGGAAAAAAAAATGTCAAGACGCACGACATCGACGAGGGCACGTGGAGCAGGGGAAGCCCGAGGGATGGCAAGGGGCCGGTCGGGAGCTGGCGCAGGGAGGCTTGCGGGACGGAGTCTGAAATTGCCAGGCAGGCCTTCGGGGAGTCTTCGGGGCCCGCCCACGGAGAAACCAAGGGCCCTGTCCAGGAGGCTCGGCATCGCACGGACATGTGCTTTTGTTTTTCGGCGGGGGCCATCGAGGAGGACCCTGGATCATCGAGCAGCGAAACAACACGCACGAAAGCAAAGGCATGCACGTGGAATGGACGTCCGAGTGATCTCAAGGAGGGCGGGAAGTCATATTCGCGGCTCGCGGTGCGCGAGGCCTCATGCGCATCCTCGTCCTCCTCTTTTCCCCCAAGGGGGTGGCTGCGTGCGGGCGCGGAGTGATATTCGCGCCTCGCGCAGCGCCACAAGCGCGGTCATACAGTCGGCCTTGATTGGTAGGTCGACCCTGCCAAGTCAAGGGAACCCTTTGTGTCTTGTCCTTAGATGCCCGTGCCCTTTACATCCCTGTGGCAGTGTCGCCCTCGGAAGGGTCTTGTGTCCTCTCGCGTGTCCTCCCCAGTCAAGCCCGATTGCAGTTGCCGTTGGGAAGCAGGTTGCGCGTTCGTGGCCCTTCTGTTTCAGCGCTGCCTGGAAGAGGCACCGGGGGGCGCCTGGTTTGCATCGGCGGCAGCTGCAGTACAGCCGCCCGTCGCCAGGAGGCCCTGGCCAAGCCTCGTCCTTTTGGCGATGCCTGGCGCCCTGCCAGACGCGAGGCTCGTGCGAGTTATATGCGCAATTGTCTGTGAGACCCTGAGCAGTGGAAGAGACTGGTTGTCGTGCCTTTTTTCGAGGTGGAAGGTTCTGATTCGGGGGGCGTCAATCGACCCCAGCCTGGCCAGGCCCATTCGGTGTGTCCACCCAGGCCCAGGATGATCCCATCCAGAATCTGTGACGTGGTCAGTTGACGCTCCCTGACTTCTGTTGTCCCTCCCCGGAGGTCTGTGGAGGTTCCCGGCGATCCCAGCCCCCGTAGAGCTTTGGAGGCCCTTTGGACGCGTCTAGAGTTATGATGTTCCAACCGACCTTAGCCTAGATCATCAGAACAAAAATCCGAGCCCCCCAAAAAATACCGAAACTCGATGGCTTTCACGTGTCGGGCCCTGGGAGACACTCGCCCGACACTGCTTCGACACTCCTTCGACACTCTTTCGACACTTTTCCGGGTGCTCGAAATTGTTTCTGGGATGTGGCCCTTAAGTAGGATGGGAACCGCATAAGTCTAGAGGCCTCTGGAGGCCAGCAAGCGGACGCCAACGGTGTACGAAAGGCCTGGATCTGCCACCGTGGTCCACCCGGCGTTCGTCCCTCCCCGCCGCCCCGCCGCCTCGCATCTGCCTCGGTGGTTGCCATTAAGTCGGGCCTGTCCCTCTACAGGGAGAATATTTCACAATGGTCAAAAAATAGTCTGGGGACTATTTTTTGGAGTATGTTTGGGCATCGTTTGGGCATGTTTTGAGGATTTTGCAATTCTCGTCCAAAATCCCCCTGTAGGCGGACAGGCCCGACCTAAGGTTACCATCAGTGGTGATCCTCGAGCGGTGCAGTCACGGCGCGGAAATCAGCGCCCACGTCGGCTCAGGAGGGGCTCCGACGCTGATTCCGCGACGCCCTTGAGATCTGCGGCCCAGGGGCCCCGGAGGAGGAGGAGGAGGAGGAGGAGGATTATAACAGTAATAGCATTCATATCAATAATAATACTCAGAAAATAATTTATTCAGAAGAAGAGTATTCATATTACTACAAGGAATAAGCATGATGATAATACGAAGAATGGTACTATTAATAATAAGAACAATACGACCACTAATACAAATACGAATACAAATCAGAAGGATACTAATGATATTAAAAACAAGAAGAAGGATGAGGGAGGGAGGGAGGGAGGGAGGGAGGGGGATGGGAAGGGTGGGAGAGAGGGAAAGTGGAGGAAGAGTGTGAGGAGGACGAGGCGTAGGGGGAGGAGGGGGAGGAGGAGGATTACCCAAGGATTACCCCAAGCCGACGCATTCGGAGAGGAGGAGGAGGAGGAGAGGAGGAGAAGGAGGCGGAGGAGGAGGAGGAGGAGAAGAGAATGAGGAGGAGGAAGCAGGAGGAGGAGGAGGAGGAGGAGGAGGAGGAGGGGGAGGAGGAGGACGAGGGGGAGGGGGCAGAGGCGGAGGAGGAAGCGAGGGAGGAGGAGGAGGAGGAGGAGGAGGAAGATGAGGAGGAGGAGGAGGAGGAAGAGGAGGAGGAGGAGGACGAGGAAGATGAGGAGGGTACTAACGGTAATAATAACATGAGAACTACGAATACCCAGAATAATAATACTACGAATATGAGTAAGAGGCATTCTACGAACAGTTGTCATAATCACAATAATGCTGGTCATATTAATACGATGACGAAGAAGAATGTTGAGAATAAGAAGAATAGTACTAAGAAACATAAGGAGAAGAAACAGAAAATGATTAAGAAGAAGAAGAAGAAGGAGGAGGGAGGGAGGGAGGGGGGGAAGGGGGGAGGGAGGAGGGAGGGGAGGGAGGGAGGGAGGGGGGAGGAGTGTGAGGAGGAGGAGGGGGAGGGAAAGGAGGAGGAGGAGGAGGAGGAGGAGGGGAAGAAGAGGTTGAGGAGGAGGAAGAGGAGGAAGAAGAGGAGGAGGGGGAGGAGGAGAAGGAGGAGGAGGAGGAAGAAGAAGAGGTTGAGGAGGAGGAGGAGGAGGAGGAGAAGCAGGAGGAGGAGGGGGAGGAGGACTCGTGGCTGAGGCTGGCCGTGGCCAGCGAACACACGCCCCCCCTCGTGCCTTCTTTTCGGCGTTCCTTACGTTGCGCCGCAGACCCCCGTGGATGCTTAAGCTCGGCATCGGCGCTGGCATTTCTGTGGTCAAGAGCCTTCCGAATTTTCAGGCGATCGCAAACATGGATCAACGGGCCGTGGATTAGCAATGGGTCCCGTTTCCATGGGAAATCGCGAATTTCCTCGGCCAAACAAGGCGGCACAGGCCGCAGTTGGAGGAGGGCACCTCGCCGGATCCATGGATTTGGCGACCGCGCGCCCAATCCATGGATCGCTAATCCATGTTTGCGCGCCCCCGAAATCAGGGCTCACTTCGATCCCCCCGATCCTATTCGATTCGGTTTCGACGGATGCCGATGCCGAGTCGATTCGACTCGGGATTCCGATTCGCGTTCCGATGTCTCACTGGACGCGAGCAAGCTTGCCGACTTCTGCCGATTCGACTTTTTCCGAGTCGGCTGCCAATGTCCGCCGATCCGATTCATTTTGATCGCCGGTCCGACTTGTCGATTCGATTCTGGGCTCCCCTGCCCAATCCTGCAGAGTCCCGCGCAGTGTGTCCCACCCCGCGCAATCGGGGCGACTCCCATTCCGAAGCTGCCTTCATCCTGCCTGGTGGCCCCATAATCGGGATCAGGAGCCCTAATGGGTGTTCATCCCAGGGGCGGCTTCTTGATGGATGGTAGCACGATGGGTTTACTCTGTGATCGTCGATGTCGGTGCTCTGGCCGGTCCGTCCCTCGCCTTCCGCTCCGCTGCCAGGCCAGCGTCCGCCAGGGCGGCGCCCGGCGGAAGTCCGCGACGCCGCAGCGGACGCCCGCCAGGGCGCCGCTGGTCGTCGTCGACGTCGTCGTCAACGCCTTCTTGAATTCCATCGTCAGCGCCGTCGACGTCGTCGAGATGGGATGGGGAGCGGAGGCAAGCCCTTCCGACAGGCGGCGGGGCTTCGCAGGAGCCCTCCAGCCTTCCGAGAAACCCTTCAGAGATGCTCAATGTTATCCTCACCCTGAGTGGGCCCTGGAAACGACAAGGCCGTTTTTTTACCGGCTCCGTTCTGCTGTTTTTGTTGCCAGTTCCGACGCCGTTTTTTATTGGTTCCTTCGCCGTTATCTTACGGGTTCCCGCTCCGGTTCCAATTCTGGAGCCGTTTTTGTGACCGTTTCCGGTCGCCGTTTTTTTGCCGTTTCCATTTTCAAAGGACGTTTTTTTTTCGGAAACGGTGAAAAAACGGTCCTGCCGTTTCCGGGGCCCACTGAGTCCTCACCCGAGTTTATCTTCGCCCTGGCATCGTCTCATGATTGAAGTTCGGCTGCGAGCCCAGGGGGGAAGTCAGAGGGGACGTGCGTCTCAGGAGGCTCTGAGGACCTCGGGCCTCCTGCGACATGCTGCGGCGCCCGTCCCAGAGGTACAGAAAGCTTCTTCTCAGGAGGCCGGAGGCCCCCTGAGCCTTCTGGGACAGCCCCAGTCTCCTTTGCCTTCCGCGCCGCGTGCGCCGCCGCTGGCGTCGTGGGTTCAGCGACTTCGGTTTGCTTGGCGTTGTCCCTGATTCGTCGATTCGGCGACTTCGTTGATTCGTGTGCGGGCAATGTCTTTATCCACATCCAGTGCGTCTTGGAGTTTCGGACACTCTTCCCAAGAAACATGAGGCGCACTGGATATGGATTAGAATCTGCCTCCAAAAGGCTCAATGTTTATCCATATCCAGTGCGCCTCGGCCTTGCGGAGTCCCTTCCAAGAAAGTCCAAGACGCACTGGATATGGATATAAGTATTGCCCGCATCGTGGAGGCGTCGGGCCACGCTTTGCCCGCAGAGGGCTCTGCAGGCCTCGGGGTTGGCAGAGTCACGAACGAGCGTCGTCGTCTTCAGTGGGGGCATGGAGGGTCGGGGTCCCAGGGACCGAGGTTGTCGGAGGTGCTTGGACCTCCGAGCCCTCGTTGCCACGGCTGGGTCCGCCTCGGGATTCTGGTTGGAACGCGCCCCGGTGCAGTTCTCGGGGTCGGTTGTCGACGTCGCCTTCTTCGGCATCGTCGTCGTCGTTGCTGGCGTCGTCTTTGTCGTCGTAGTGGTGGGAGGGCTCCGGAAGCCTCAGCCTCAGGACCAGTCGTGACCTCCAGCCTGCGATAGCCGCGATCGCGGGCACGACATGCAGTCAAGACGGGCGTCAAGGATGAGCCTTTGAAGCAGGGGGGTCTGGCACCTCTCGGCTCGGGGCATCTACTGCAAGCGGTCTGCCCCGTCTTCTTTCAGCTTGGCGCGCTCTGCTGTCAGGATGCCGGTACAAGGACCGTGTCGTTCGGAGCTCAGAAGGGCCTTTGGTTGTCGGGCCGTTCCTCAGACTGGCGTCGGGGAACCTGTTCGAAGCCGAAGCTCGTCGCGGCCGAACAGAAGTTGGCGGAGGCGGAGGAGGAGGAGGAGGAGGAGGAGGGTGAGGAGGAGAAGGAGAAGGAGGAGAAGGAGAAAGAGGAGGAGGAGGAGGAGGAGGAGGAGGAGGAGGAGGAGAAGGAGAAAGAGGAGGAGGAGGAGGAGCAGGAGCAGGAGGAGAACCCCTTTCGTTCCCCATTCGGCGTTCCATGAGGGGCGTCGGAGGGACCAAGCGCTTCCACTGCGACGACGTCCGCGCGCAGGCTTGCCGCGCAGTCCGTCGCGCGCGGGGGCCCCTGAACGCCACCAGCGCGGCGTGCCGCGCTGGTGGCCCGCGCGAGCCGCCGCGTGCGGTTGCGGTGCAGTCTGGCGCAGGGCGGGCTTCGGATCGCTGCTTTGGGCAGCTCGGTGTCGTTTCACCGATCCCCATCCCCATCCCCATCCCCTTCGGGAGCCCCAGCGGATCACCACCCCAGCCGGGGATACGCCCCTCGGAACCCGAAGGGAGCGAGCTGCATCCCCTTCGGGGGGGGAGATCGGCGGGTGGGGCCCAGGCCACGCCACTGGGGATGGGGATCGGGTAAACGATACTCAGTAGCACGAGGAGTGGCGGTGCCTCTGCAATCGACCTATGTGTCCCATTATGTTTGCAGTGGCGCGCACTGAGCCCGCCGTCAGCGCTGCCATGCAGAAAGGGGTCCTGAGAGAGACGGTCCTGGACCCCGTGGGCTCTCCCTGGGGCCGACAAGATTGGATTGGAACCGGAACAGGAACCGGAACGAACAGGCAGCGACGGAACCGGGCAAACAACGGGGCCAGAACCGGCAACACAATTGCAGAACGGAAGCGGACAAAAATGCCCTCTCGTTCCAATCGGGCGGGTGGCAATGGGGGGTGGCGTAAGTGTTGTGTCGGGCCTGTCCCTCTACGGGGGGAATCTTCAACAGTAGTCAAAACATAGTCTGGGGACTATTTTTTGAGTATGTTCGACCATTTGGGAGCATGTTTGGAATATTTTTTCTGTTTCGTCGAAAATCCCCCTGTAGGGGGACACGCCCGACTTAGCGTACGTGGGGGGGGAAGGGAGCGGCCCGAAGGGGGCTGGGTCCGGGTTCCATTGGGAGCCAGTCGGGTGTTGCTAGAAGTGCCCCTGGCCCAGGGTGCCCCCAGCTGTTCGGTCAATTCTGGAGCCCCCGGGGGCCCCCTGTGCCTTGTGAGGGGTGCTCTGGAGGTTGCCTGCGCCACCCCGAGAATCCTGGGGGTACCTTGGGCCAGGGGCACTTCTAGCAACACACGATCAGGGTCCTTTTCTCCACCCCTCCCTTGAGGCTGAAGTCGGGCCTGTCTCTACAAATAATAAACAAATAGTCTGGGGACGATTTATTATTTTTATTATTATTATCGTTATTAATAGTATTATTATTATTATTTTTATTAGTATTATTATTCTTATTCTTATTATTAGTATTATTCTTATTATTATTATTATTATTATTATTATTATTATATTTTCCTTATTTATTATTATTTTTAGTATTATTATTATCAGTATCATTATTATAATTATTCTTATGAATATTATTATTCAGTTTAGCCATTATTGAGCATTTGTTTTGTATTTTTAGCCAAATGGGGCCCTAAAGGGCCCCTCAGGGTCCCTTTCTTCACCCTTCCCTTGAGGCTTAAGTCGGGCCTGTCCCTAAAAATAGTTAAAATAGTACGGGGACGATTTGTTTTTACTGATTTTAGTTATGTGGGAGTTGTTTTGGGGTATTTGTGTATGTTTCGTCCAAGATGCGCCTCTAGGGGGACCTGCCCGACCTGACTTTAGGCCACCCCCCATTGCAGTCGGACCGAGGAGTAAGATTGCGGTCGGTTCGGGGAGGGTAACATAAAGTTCTTCGAGTTTGTTGGATGTTCTTGTGCATTCTGGGGGAGGGCACCCTTGAAAGATCTTAGGGATTGGGGTGCTTTGGCCCGCGGGGGGTCTCATGTTCTTGACGGATGTTCTTCTGGCCTGGGTCCCACTGTGCCACTCGCTCTATCCAAGGGCCCAGCAATCCCACATCTCGGCGGCGAGCGAGGGGGGAAGTGAGAAGAGGGGCGGGCCAAACACTTGCCAGAAGGCGCGAGGGCTTCTGAGAAGTCCCGCCGCCTTCTGAGAAGGCCTCCTCCTTCTCACTTCTCCCCCTCCCTCGCCGCCCAACATCGATCCTTGGCCCCGGGAGCGCCTTCTTCGGAGTGACCTTTGGTGCGGCCCCACTGGGCCCCCCGCCGTCTTGCGCGCCGCGCGCCTACGTTTGGCCCCCCAGCGGCCCCCAGAAAGCCGCGCACCAAAGGTCACTCTTACCCAGGGTCGCTCTTGCTTGCAGCCGAAAGGGCCCAGTACAGTGGGGGCCCATGCCAAGGGGCGCCCTGCTCAATGGATTCTGGGGTCTCAGGTTTGGGTATCTTGTGCAAGTTCTCTCATCTCCTCCCTGGGTGCGCCGCCGCATGTGGTTTGGGGGTCATACCTCGGATCTCCGGCGGTCCAGGGACCGCCACGGGCGTCCGGGACGATCCAGGCACCCTTCGGCGGGGCGCAGCTGCTGGCAAGCAGCCCGAGGCTGAAAAATCGCCGAGAACCGACGACGGCCTCCGAAGCCGTCGAGCTTCGATCCCGAGAGCTTCCCCCCCCCTCGCCGCCGACGGTGGCCCCACGTCGATCGCAGCCCGAGGCTGAAAACTCGCCGCGAACCGCCGACGGCGCCCGAAGACGTCGAGCCTCGATCCCGACAACGTCCCCTCACGTCGATCCATGCGCCTCGATCCCGAAAACTTTCCGAAAACTCGAGCGAACGTCGAGCCTCGATTACGAAAACTCGAGCGAACGTCGAGCCTCGAACTTCCTCCACCCCCCTCGCCGCCGACGGTGGCCACCCACGTCGATCCAAGGGCCCCGGGGAGCGCGCGCCTCGAGCCGCAGGGACCGCGGGCGCGCGAGCGGCGGCGCGGGGCAGCGGCGTGGGGCAGGTTTCGGTGCCGTGGGAGCGCACGGCTCGTGCCCTGCTGCGCTGCGTGGTGGGCCTGTTGTCCACCACCACCAGAAGTCGGAGGGGGAGGGGGTCCTACTCCTCCTCCTCCACCTCCTCCTCCTCCTCCTCCTCCTCCTCCTCCTCGTCCACCTCCTCCGAGGTTACGTGCGCTCGTCCACCTCCTCCTCATCCTCCTCTCCTGCACCTTCCCTCCGAGGCGGCGGCAGGCTGGGAGCGGCCCCCCGCCGTGGAGCGGCAGGCCGCGGCGCGCCGCGGGCGGGCGGGGGGAGGAGGATCGAGGAGGATCGAGGAGGATCGAGGAGGAGGAGGATCGAGGGGGGGATGAGGAGGAGGAGGAGGAGGAGGAGGAGGAGGAGGAGGAGGAGGAGGATCGAGGGGGGGATGATGATGAGGAGGAGGAGGAGGAAGAGGAGGAGGAGGAGGAGGAGGAGGGCGAGGAGGGAGGGCGAGGAGGAGGAGGAGGAGGAGGGTTTCCAGGATTTCCGGTGTCGCGTCATGCAGACCAGGCCGAGGGAGCTCAGCACTTGGGAAGTAGGCCGCGACGGATCCTGGATCCTGCCCGGATGCCTGCGCCTGGACTGCGAGAGTGGGAGAGCGCACGGAACCGCACGCACCCCCTGAGCTGGGCCCGGCCGAGACTGAAGAACGCAGGCACCGCCACACCACCAACGAAGGTCAACGTCTGGGCCTCCCAGGTGGGAATTGAGGTGGGTGGGGTCGGAGGATCGCGCCGCGTCGCCGATTCATCGCCGATGCGGCTCGATGTGGAGCTCGATTTGCTTCACAGCGAGGTCGCCGATGCATCGCCGACGTCGACGATGCATCGCCGGTGCATCGCCGATGCATCACCGATACGTCGCCAATGCATCTTCGATGTATCGGCGATGCGGCGCGATCCTCCGACCCAATCTACTCCGACCCCATCTAGGAGGTCTCTACAATGGGGGGATGAGGATCGACGATGAGAACGGGGAGGATGATGATACAGTCAGGCCGAGGTACCAGGTCGAGATCGGTTCGGGGAGGGTACCCTAGTGTTCTTCGTGCTTGTTGGATGTTCTTGTGCATCCTTGGGGGGGACTTGAATGTTCGGTTTGTTTTGGCCGGCGGAGGGTCTCATGTTCTTGGGGGGATTCTCTTCTGGCCTGGGTCCGGCTGTACCGCAACACGACTGGCAAAGCTCAATGGGGGGGAGGATCGAAGACGAGAGCAGGGAGGAGGACGATAGGATGATGGTGAGGAGAGAGCCACGAACGGCGCACACATTCACGTCCACGCCCTCGCGGTCTGGATTCCGGGGCGCGATCCTGTGAACACGCGGCCGCATGGACGCGCTCCGCGCGGGGCAATCTCTACAGAAAACGGCCCGTAACCGCGGGGTCGCGGCCTCGCGGAGGTTGGCCCGCGAGGCCGTGGATTTGGACATGTTTACGCCCACGAGGGAGGAGGATCAAAGGGAGGTGGTGGCGATGATGATGATGATGATGATGATGATGATGATGAGGATGAGGATGAGGATGAGGATGAGGATGAGGATGAGGATGAGGATGAGGATGAGGATGAGGATGAGGATGAGGATGAGGATGAGGATGAGGATGAGGATGAGGATGAGGATGAGGATGAGGATGAGAATGAGGATGTTGATGATGATGATGGTGATGATGCTGATGACGATGTTGCTGATGCTGTTGATGATGATGTTGTTGTCGATGCTGATGATGGTGGTGGCGATGATGACGATGATGATGATGATCATCATCATGATGGTGGTGGTGATGATGCTGATGATGATGATGCTGGTAAAAATGATGAGGATGATGATGGTGGTGATGATGATGCTGCTGATGCTGTTGATGATGCTGCTGATGATGCTGCTGCTGATGATGATGCTGGTGCTGGTGCTGGTGCTGATGATGATGATGATGCTGATGCTGCGGCTGCTGCTGCTGCTGCTGCTGCTGATGATGATGATGATGATGATGATGATGATGATGATGATGATGATGATGATGACGTGCATAGATGATGCTGATGCACCATCACGGCCGATGGCGATGTCTTTCCCCCCCTTCTCCTGCCACTCCTCACGCTCTTGCGTCTTATCTACCTATCTCTCGTTTCTCCCCCAAATTGCTCCGCACGCCCTTCGCTCCCTTGTTCGCGCGCGCGCACTCCCTCGTGGCAGATCAGGCATAGTGCGTGCTACTACCGCAGTTCAATCCAAACAGCGAGGTTGACTCGCGCGCCCGCTCTCAACCCACCATACCGGTTTGGCTTGCTGGTGTTTCTCTGGATCTAGGTATCAATGTGTGTAGATATGTATACATTTACAGTAGAAAAGGTCCCCGATCCGCCTTGCCCGCCCTGCATGCATACCGTGTCGCCAGGCCCCAATCCTCCTCGTGGTCCTTGGGCATCCCGTCCCGCCCGCCCTGCAGACCGCGGTCGCGAGGCCCAGTCGTCCCCGTGGTCCCTGGGCATCGCCCCGCAGAATGCGGTCGCCAGGCCAGGCCCCAATCCTCCCCGTGGCCCCTGGGCATCCCAGTGCCTTTCCTCCGCCCTGCATGCCGCGGCCGCCTGGCCCCAATCGCCTGGGTGGTCCTTGGGGATGTCCCGTTTCGCCCGCCCTGCATGCCGCGGCCGCCAGGCCCCCGTCGTCCCCAGGTCCCCTGTACGCCGCCTCGCCCTGCATACCGCGGCCGCCAGGCTCCAATAGTACAAGTGGCATCTGCGTATCCCGCCTCGTGCATCAGTCGCGCGCACCGGTATCATTAATTGCACCAACAGCGTGTGTATACATAGCGCGGCCGCCTTGTCTGTCATCTCCTGGCTGTGCACGCTGGTCAATTCGCTTCTCGGTGCCTCCGTTGAGCTCCAGAGCTGGTGAAGCCAACTCAGTCTCGCCGCCGACGGAAAAAGTGTATACATAGCACGACCGTTCACCAGTACCAGCCATCCACGACTTGCAAACCATCAACAAGCGCAAACCATTCTCAGCAGACTCACGTACGGGTCACGTGCAAAACTGCCACAGATGAGCGCATACACCAGCACAGTGGACCAATAACCCTGTACCACTGGCATGCGTCAAACACACGCACCATCAATGCACACCGAAATCATACAAGACAACCGTACGTCCGCAACCCTGTCCAATAGCATTAAAAGTTGGCATGAATCACGTACGCCCAGACCACAGCAAATCGATACTCCAAACTTATACGTCGGTATCAGGAGCCCCGAACACCAACCCACAACCCACACACACCACCAGTCACAGACAGTTTATCATGCGTCATCAGAATGCACCACGATCCAGCATCGATCACATACGCCAGCAACGTACACCACTTCCAAATACTACCACCAAACATCAGACATGTACATGGACCGCGCTCACAACAACACATACGCGCATCAGCCATTGACAGAATGCAGTAGCACACGCCCCTTACAAGCATCAGCCATGCGCACCGAAACTGTCACCACATCACACACCAGGACCAGCGCCAAACATCATAAGTCAAGATCACACGTCAACTGTAGACAACAAACAAACAGACACCAGGAATAGACATGTGTGTAGGATACATCTACGTCACACCAAGTCTCAGAGTGAGGGCCGAACGGTCATTCACTGTCCCTGGGTGCGTTGCTGAAGTGGAGGTTCGCGGTACGGATTGGGTTGTGCTGTTGTTGTTGTGCGTGTTGTTTTCTTGTTGTTGGTGTTGGTGTTGGTGTTGGTGTTGGTGTTGTTGTTGTTGTTGTTGCTGTTGAATAGGAGCGGGCGCCGGGCCCCGGCGCTCCCCCCCAACAACAACAACAGCAACAACAACAGCAACAACAACAACCAACAACAACGCGGGCAGCTCCCGCTCGAGACTTCCTCGCAATTCACTGTGGAATGACGGGTTCCAACACTGGGGCCTCGGTGCCCCCCCACCACCCCTACGTCCCCACACTCCCACGCCCCCAGACACCCAAACGGCCCCCAGACACCCGAAAGGACGCCCTGAAGGGATCCAACTCGGCCTCCTCCCAGGTCTCCTGCAAGACACGGTCACCCCATCGTCTTGGTCCGCCGTCGACTGAGGAAAGGATGACGATTATGATGGAGCTGATAATGATGATGATGATGATGATGATGATGATGATGATGATGATGATGATGATGATGATGATGGTGGTGGTGGTGGTGTTGGTGGTGATGGTGATTTTGATGCTGATGATGCTGATGATCATGATGATTATGATGATGATGATGATGATGATGATGATGCTGATGATGATGATGATGGTGGTGGTGGTGGTGGTTGTGGTGATGCTGATGGTGATGCTAACGATGATTATGATGATGATGATGATGATGCTGAGACTGATGATGATGATGATGGTGATTTTGATGATGGTGGTGATGATGCTGATGATGATGCTGATGATGATGATGGTGGTGGTGGTGACGATGATGATGGTGATGATGATGGTGATGATGATGATGAGGATGATGACGACGATGGCAGTGGTGGAAGTGCTGGCAGTTGTGGTGAGGATGGAGAGTCTGGTCTTGTACTAGGCCTCTTCCCAGGCCTCTTACAAGACACGATCAACAGCTGCTACGATCCCTTGGGGGGTCCAATTGCAGTTGGTAGGATCCCAATATGAGGTCCCATTACAATTGATAGGATTCCTATAGCGATCCTATGCGAGCTGGTAGGATCCCTATAGGGATCCTAGTGCAGCTGGTTTGATCCCTGTAGGGGTCCCGTTACAGCTGGTAGGATCCCAGTAGGGATCCGATTGCAGCTGGTAAGATCCCTATAAGTGTCTTATTGCAGCTGGTAGGATCCCTGTAGGGATCCTATGACAGCTGTGTAGGGATCCTTGTGCAGCTGTTAGGATCCCTGTCGGGACCCTATCGCAGCTGGTAGGGTCCCGATGAGGATATTATTGCAGTTGGTGGGGTTCTTATGCGAATCCTTTTACAGTTGTTAGGATCCCTTTAGGAATCCGATTGCAACTGGCCGGATCCTATAAAGGATTCCGTTGCAGCTGGTAGGACCCCCATAGGGATCCTACTGACAGCTGGTCGGATCCCTATACGGATCCTGTTGCTGCTGGTCGGATCCTTCTGGGGACCCTATAACAGTTGGTGAGATGCCTATAGGGATCTTACGACAGCTGGTAGGATCCCTATAAGGTTCCCGTTGCAGCTTGAAGGATCCGTATAGGGATCCGAGGACAGCTGGTAGGATCCCAGTAGGGATCCGATTGCAGCTGGTAGGATCTCTACAGGAATCCGATTCCAGTTACTAGGGCCCCTTATAGGGATCCTATTACAGCTGGTAGCACCCCCCCGTAGGCATCCTATTGCAGCTGGTGGGATCCCAATAAGGATCCTATGACAGCTGGTAGGATCGCTGTAGGGATCTTATTGCAGCTGGTAGGATCCCTAGATGGATCTTGTTGCAGCTGGTAGGATCCCTATAGGGACCCTGTGACAGCTGGTAAGATCGAGAAGGAGAATCCTTACAGGTTTTCTGTAGGATCCTTATGGGGTTCCTGTAGGATCCTTATAGGGCTTCTGTAGGATCCTCATAAGGTTTTTGTAGGATCCTGATCGGCTTCCTGTAGGATCTTTATAGGGTTTCTGTAGAATCCTGACCGGGTCTCTGTCGGATCCTTATCGGGTTTCTGTCGGATCTTTTTTACAAGGTTGTTGTAGGATCCTTATCGGGTTTCTGTAGGACCCTCATACGGTTTCTGTACGATCCTTGCATTTGGTATGTATATAGGATCCGCGCAGGCGTTCTATATAATCCCCATACGGTTTCTATAGGATCCCCGTGGCGTTGCAATATAATGCGAATGTTTGTAGGTTTTCTTTCATACCTACATATATATATATATGATCCCTGTAATGCTTGTTTGATCCCTTTGGGTTTTTTGTTTGTATCGGGTCCCTGTACGCTTTCTATTGGGTCCCTGTTGGTTTATCTATATATAGGATCGATGTAGTGTTTCTATCGGGTGCCTGCACGGTCTCTGACGGATCTCTGTACGGTTTCTATAGAATCTTTGTAGGGGTTTGATCGGGCCCTTGTACGGTTTCTACAGGATGTCGTAGGGTTTCTTTTGGATGCCTTGTAGGGTTTCTTTAGGATGCCTTCAGGGTTTCTTTTGGATGCCTGGAGGGTTGCTTTAGGATGCCTGTAAGGTTTCTATAGGATGCCTGTAGGGTCTATAGAGGATGCCCTTAGGGTTTCCATCGGATGCCTGTAGGGGCTCTATAGGATGCGTGTATGGTTTCTATAGGATCCCTGTAGGGTTTCTACAGGACCTCTGTAGGGTTTCTATAGGATCCCTGTAGGGTTTGTGGGGGATGCCTGTAGGGTTTCTATAGGATGCCTGTAAGGTATCTACAGGATCCCTGTATCCCCCGCTTCTCTAGCGCGCACACGTAAGTCACCACTCCGATGCAGCATTGGAATCTTGAGGGACTCCCCCGTTTTTTTGTATTCATTCCGGGGGGGGGGGTTGGGGACCCCGGGGCCCGGGGACGATTCCTGCCCCCCCCCTTTGGAGGAGAGCCCGAGCGCCGGGGCCCAGGGAAGGTCCCTGTCCTTGTTGTTGTTATTTGTTGTCGTCCTCCCGCCCGCGATTCACACGCGACCCACCCGCGACCCACCCCGCGACCCACCCGCGACCCACCCCGCGACCCACCCGCCACCCACCCCGCGACCCGCCCGCGACCCGCCCGCGACCCACCCGCGACCTACCCGCGACCCGCCCGCGACCCAGCGACCCACCCGCGACCCACCCACAACACATCCGCGACCAGCCCCGCGACTCACCTGCGACTTGCCCTCGCGACCCACTCGCGACCCACCCCAAGGCCCGCCACCTCACTCTTCTCCGCAACTGCGGGGTGCTACACATTGACAATGTGAAGCTCTCTGGTGGGATGTCGACCGGCATCGAACCCGCTGCGAGCGTTCGCGTGAAACGCCGCCGGCGACGCAGAATGGGTCGATGTGAAACGATCTGAGGTTTCAGGAATGGCCGATCGTTCGCGAGGTGGAACGATCCCCGCGGTGTCAGGATGCCCGACGCCGAGGCCGGCACGGCGCGAACCTGCCGAAAAGCTATCTTTCCTCAAGCTTGTCCCGAGCTTCCGGCGAAGAAAAAGAGGGCATAAACATGCTCTGGATCGCTTAATAATCGCCCCCCCCCCTTCGAGTGCCCGGGGGGGTTGGCCGCGGCGCGTCCGCGGGGGTGCCACGGGGGGTCTGGGGTGCGTTCCATTCCCCGCTGGGGCGCCGGGGTGGTGCCGGGGGGGTTTGCCGCGCCGCGTTTTCACGTTTGTCACCCCCCGGTTGATTAATAAGATGTTCGGAGTAAATTGGGATCCGCACGAGGCGCCCCCGGGGGAGCCCAGCGCAGATCCAAGAAATCCGCGCGGAGCACCAACAGCTTATGTTTACGCAGTTTTTTCGCCGTCCGCTCCTGGAGCTCGTCCGAGGCAGGAGGAGGAGGAGGAGGAGGAGGAGGAGGGGGAGGAGGAGGAGGAGGAGGAGGAGCTCGACGACTGCCTCCTCTTCGGCGCCCCCGACGGGGGCCCCTTGCGCTGCGCGACCACCGCCGTCGTGCTCTGTTCCTGGGCCCGTGCGCGCCCTTCGCCAGGACCTGCCCCCGTACGAGGCGTGGCAGTGCTCGGCGCTGCAGGAGCGCCCCGGGGGCGCTCCCCTCGCTGGCGCTCCCGCTGCCGCTCTCGCTGCGCGCGGCCGGGGGCGGCTCCTTCGCGCCGGGCGAGGCTCCGCGGCGGCCCTAAGGCCCCAGGCCTCTCCAATGGAGTCTCGGGGGTCCCCTCCTCCTCCTCCTCCTCCTCCTCCTCCTCTCCCTCTCCTCCCTCCTCCTCCTCCTCCTCCTCTCCTCCTCCCCTCCTCCTCCTCCTCGCGAGTCGTTGGAAGTATATATGTGTTTCGGGGGCCCCCAAACGGGGCGGTGACCACACCGTGCGGTGAGTCGGTGGGGAGTCGGGGCCACCGCACGGTCTTGGGACTCGGGCCGTTCTCCGATGGGCGTCTTGGGCGACCGGGGCCTCCGAGGTTCCGTTGGAGGGTGAAAGAGGGGGTCTGCAACAGGGGGTCTTCAATGGGGGCTGAATGGCCCATGTATGCTCAATCTATCGCTCATGTATGTGATCGGGTACGATTGGCATCCAATGCTGGCGGTCATTGATGGCCAGTCATTCGTGCCCGCGCGTTGCCCGCGCGGGCACACGCGCCGTCCATCCATTATCGTTCATGCGTGCGGGCGTTCTTGCACATTGCGTGTGGGTCGGCGAAGGGGAGTGCAGGTGTGTCTTGATTGTGCGGTTGATGATCGCGTATGTTCCCAAAAGATGACTTCTCGGCCCCCAAGACAGATTTGGAATGGGCCCCGCGATTCTCCCAAAATGTGAATTCACATTTTCCTTTTTCCCAAAATGTGAATTCACATTTTCCTTTTTCCCAAAATGTGAATTCACATTCTGGGCCCTTTCATAAAGAATCCTACGCAAAATTCCAAAATGTGAATTCACATTTTCCTTTTTCCCAAAATGTGAATTCACATTTTCCTTTTTTCCCAACATGTGAATTCACATTTTGCTTTTCCCACCATGTGAATTCATACTTTGCCCTGGCCTTCAAGATCCCCAAAACTGAGGCGCAGCGTTCCGCATGTCAGATTGGCTGGGCAGCTTTCGACACTCACCTGACCGCTTTCGTGTGTTCCAGCTTTTTCTTTTTGCGCCCTTAGCGCACGTTGCCTTCGTCGCCTTTCCCGAGCCCCCCGCCCCCTTGCTTCCTTTCCCCTCGAGTCTCGCGCGCGGGCGCAGGCGGGGGGCTTCAATTAGTTCCCCCGCCGAGCACGGCAATCGAGGATGCATCGCCCATTCATGGCCTTAAGCAACATCATTGCCGGGACCCTGCGCCCGACCCCCACTTTCACCCTCCAATTCCGAGACCGTGCAGTGACGGACCGTGCGGTGAGGTCTTGGGGGATTCCGAGGGCACCGCACGGTCCGTCACCGCACCGCTTCGGGACTCCAAAAGATGGAGTCGGAGCCCAATGGGGTCGTAGGACCTCGTAGGAGGAAGTAACGCCATGAGCTTAAACTTTTGGCGCTCCGCGCGGGTTTCTTGGACCTGCGCTGGGGCTCCCCCGGCGGCCTCCTCCGGCGCCGCCCCTGGCGCTCCGCACACCTGGGAGGGGGGTCCGTCGCGGAGCCAAGAAATCCGCGCGGTGCGCTCGTCTACAAAACGAGTAGGAGCAGATGGGGTCGAATCATCGCGCCGCATCGCCGATGCCTCGGCTATGCGGCCCGATGTGGAGCCCGATTTCCTCCACGCGGACGGCGCCGATGCCTCGCCGAGGCAGCGCCGATGCCTCGCCGATGTGGCGATGTGGTGCGCTCCTCCGACCCCATCTTCTCGGGCCCCAGCTAGGAGGCGGGTACAGCCAGGACCCCAGGTACGGGGGCCCGATTAGTAGTAGGGCCCCGGAGCCCCCACACTGGCCAGAATCACTGAGCCGTGTCTGCCCTATAGCTGGTGTTCTCCGGGTGACGGCAGTTCCTCCTCGCGGAACGGGGCGGGGAGGGCGCCCCCGAGTACACATTACGGGACGTGGAAACGACCACAGCCATTGCTTTTCTTTTGTTGCCGCCTTCCAGCCAGCAGAAACAAAGCAGTGGTTTCGGCCATTTGCGTTAAGCTTGGCACCAGGGAAATGACCACAACCACTGCTTCTTTTTCGGCTGGCTGGAAGGCGGCGCAAACAAGAAGCAGTGGCTGTGGTCATCTTCCCGTCCCGCACACATCGACGAAGCCCAGTTCTGCCGACGCCCGAGGGAGGCCCCTATAGTCTCCAGTGCCTCGGCGCGCGGAGCCCAGAGCAGACGTCGCGCAGGGCGTGGCTCCGCGGCGGCGCCTCCGGTGTGAAAGCGCACGGGGGGCCGTGTATGTCAAGCAGTGGCGAAGCGTCCTGGCTAGCCTATAGCCCGACCAAGCAATGTTCTAAGAGCCTTTTGTGGTTTCCACGAAATGTTCTTAGAACATTTCTGGCTGGGACTGTCTCGTCTTAACACATCGGGTGTATGTTCAAAGAAATTTGTCTTTGTTCTTAGAACATCTTCGGGTTCTAAGAACATTTCGTGGTATGACTATAAGAATGCCGGGACGGTCGGTTCCTGCTCAAGTAGAGCCTCGTAGCTTCAGGCCGGGCCTGTCCCCCTACAGGCCGATTCGGACAAACAAATCAAACATATTCTAAACATATGCAAGACAACAACAACATAATCTACAAAGTGTCCCCATGATGTGTTTGGACTTTGTTTTAATCTTCCTCCTGTAGAGGGACACGCCCGACTTAATCGTAGCGCCTCCCTGAGGGTGCACCAGCGTTGGCTAGCGTCTGGTAGGTAGCGCCGATTTGGCGTCGATCACCCTCGATTCGCGTCGATGTAGCGTCGATCCAGCGTCGACGTAGCGTCGATCAGCGTCGATTCGCCAGGGCTGACAAGATGGTGTCGGAGGCTCCCATGAGTTCCCTCAGAAGACGCTTCGACCAAGCGTGCGGGCAGAAACTTGTTTTTAGCTTGTCGCGCCTCCGGTTGTCAGGGGAGAAGAACATGTATGATGACAACGCTGCTCGTCCTGGAGTTCCAACATCGCTGCGTCTGGGTTCTCCTCGAATTTTCTGGTCAAAACTCGCCCCGGGAGAGGTCCGGGGAGTATCAGTTGTGCTTGTTTGTGCTCCCCGGTTGTGGCCCACCACGCTTCGGCGCGACACGCTGCGCACGTCTCGCTCCCCAGTCATCAGCGTGTTGGGATGTTCCCAGCCACCCGTCCCACGAAGCAGGGCGTCGCGCTGCCAGCTTGCAAGGCACAGCGCGCCGCAGGTGCCGCCGCCGCGACACTCTGAGCAAAAGTTTCGGGCCGTAGGCGCACGGACGCACGCACGTGTGATCGGCGAGCGATGTACTATCCATACCCGAGCTGCTGCCCTGGCCCTGGGCTCGGGAGCGTTGGGTTTGCCCGGGGTTCCGAAGATCCCTATGGGAAGGCGCAGGGTGGACCTTGTCTCTTTTCTGAGACTCGTGGAAATGGTTTGGAGGTTTGCCGGGCCGCAGCAGGCACACAGTGGAATCAAAGTGCAATGTCCGAGGTCGAACTGACCACGAGCTTCGGACATGGCGCAGACAAAGAAAATGTCCCCAGGCCAGATTTTGATCCATGCCCCCGATTCTGGCCCCTCGTGGGGTTGGGGCATCTGCAGGTGCACTGTCGGCACACGAGTGGTGCGCTCCCAGGCCCCACAAGGAGGCTGCACCTAGTCTGTGGAGCCCTCCGTGCTCCCTTTGCGAGGCGGTCTTTTGCTCGGCGTCTCGACAGCTCGTCGAGGAAGGCCGCCAAACGGCCCCGTTGCTTACGCTGCATCTGCGGAACGTTGTCTCTCCTGTACTCTGCACGGCTGTCTCTTGCATCCGACGCGGATTCTAGGATTCGACACGGATTCCGCGTTCGACGTGATGTCGACGCGGTTCCGACAAGCCCGCCGGATGTGCAATGTGTAACAAGTCGGCCTCTTGCCGGCGCCACGACAGTTCACAAGGTCCCCTGGGTGGCCGCACGACAGGGCGAAGCACTCGGCGGATGACATGGTGCCTGCCTCCCACGTGCCGCGGCCTCTTCTGGGCGTCCTCTTCACCAGGGGTTCCCTGCTCCCCCCTCCTCTTTAGTCACTCGGCGAGTGCCAAAGGCGCCGGCCGTGCGTCCCAGCGTCAGCCAGGCGGGATCTGCGCATCGAGCGACGTAGGTCCCCTCCTCCCTGCCGCCCCGCGTCCCTCGCCACACCCTTCCTCCGTCCTCCCTCCCTCCCTCCTTTCTCCTGCCTCCCTCCTCCCGCCTCCCTCCAGATCCTCCTCCCTCCAGCTCCTCCCTCGTCTCCCGCCTCCCTCGCTTCTTCCTCCTCCCCTGCTGCGCAGCTATCTCGTCTCAGGCGGCTGGCGCCCGGCGCTTGTCACCCGACGCAGCCGACGGCTCGAATGTGAGCGTGTTCTTGCAGTAGGGATCCCCCCCAGACATTATCGCGTCGTAACCAAAATCAGGACGGGAGGTTTTTGGCAAATTTCGGCTTCGGGAGGGCCCTCGCCGGGCCTCGGGACAGTCCAAAAACGACTCCGAATGAGAAAAAACGGTCCAGGGGAAGGGGTCAGGCCTTCCAGGAACCCCGTATTGATAAATTCAGGACGTCGCACGTTTGGGCTCGGAAAGTTGTTGGAGGATGAGGTCGCTGCACTCCCAGATCTCCTGCTGGCTCGAGGATGTCGCCCCCTGCGTTGTTGAAGTCGTACCGCATCAGAGGGTTGAGGAGGAGGAGGAGGAGGAGGAGGAGGAAGACCAGTGTAAACCCAAGAGTCACCAACGATGTTGGAGTACACCCTCCCCCCAAGCTCCCTCTTCATAGGCCCTTGCAACGGTTCACTTCCAAAGATGGACCTGCCTCGTTGGAAGACAACCATTTGAAGACCTGAAGCATGCCGAGAAATTATTTTCAGTATTCCAACGCCACGGATGGACCTGACTGTTGCGTCTTGACGATCCTGAACCGTGCCAGAACGCCATTCCTGGGACCTCAACTCCGCGAGTCATCGTGACTGTTGCGCCCTCAAGATCGTGAACCCTTCCAAAACACCATTTCTGGTACGTCGATCATGGGAATCCGTGAAGCTCTTTCAATTTTTTATCGAGAATGTGTGCGGCGCTAAGGCGATGGCCACTTTTTGGCAAGGAACCGCCCTGAGTCCGTGAAACGTCTGTACATGTTTGAAAACCACCCGCCCCCAATCAGTGAAACTCTTGTCAATCTTGAAAACTAATACGCGCGGTGCTAAAGCGAGAGCCACATCTTGAAAACCCCCCGCACTCGATCCGGGAAGAATTTTGAATGCGAATGCGCGCTGCGCGAATGCGAGAGCAACATTTTGAAAATCACCCGCCATCAATCCGGAAAACTCTTGCAATTGTTTTAACGAATGTGCGCGGCGCGGAGGCGAGAGCCACGTTTTGAAAACCACCCGCCCTCAACCCGTGAAACTCTTGCAAAGTTTGAAAACGAATGCGCGCGGCGCTAAAGCGAGAGCCACATGTTGAAAGCGACCCGCCCTCAATCCAGGAATCTCTTGCACAGTTTGAATACGAATATGCGCGGCGCTAAGACGAGAGCCACATTTTGAAAATGACCCGCCCTCCATCTGTGAAATTGTTGCTAATGTTTCAGCTTCAGGGTCATAGGTGGTGAGGAAGTCTCAGGCGAAACGCCCAGCCCGCCCTAAAAACTGGCCTCGGGGTGCGACAGGGAGAAGTTGTTTAAAGGAGAAGGAATGAAGAGGGAGGAGGAGGAGGAGGAGGAGGAGGAGGGGAGGAGGAGGAGAGGAGGAGGAGGAGGAGGAGGATGGGGAGGAGGAGGAGGAGGAGGAGGAGGAGGAGGAGGAGGGAGGAGGGGGAGGGCGTTGAGGAGGAGGAGGAGGGGGAGGGGGTTGAGGAGGAGGAGGAGGGTTCCGAGGGTTCCGATGACGACGAGGAGGAGGATGATGAGGAGGAGGAGGAGGATGGGGAAGAGGAGGAGGAGGAGGAGGAGGAGGGGGAGAAGTGAGGAGCGGGGGGAGGTAGAAGGGGAGGAGGGAGGAGGGGGAGACCCAGGCTGGCATCGCATCCTGGCCTCTCGACCAACCCTAGCCCTTTGCCGGCAGACATGGGCCCCACAGTAGGCTTCGGTTTTGGCGTACTGTGAACCTGCACTATCATCGCGCTCTTTGTGCTTTCGTCGCACCGTGTGTTTCGAACACCTACGTACTTGCATCCACGCTGAAGCTTTCGGAGGTCCGCGCGGAGTCCTTGGATCGGCGTTGGACCCTCCTCCCTGGCGCGCGGTGCGCGGAGCGCGCCGATGGCGGGGGGTCCAGAACATCCTCGCGCGGATCTTCTGAAGTTAACGGTTGTGCTGATGTTTCTTCTGCTCCGATTGGTCGCCATGTATTCGAGGCGGGATTTTATACGTCATCCCAGGCTCTGGACCCACGACCTTTCCCCCCCCCAGATGGGATGGGTCTCAGGGTCCTTCGGGCCCCCCCCCCTTGATGAGATGGGGGCGGACGACGACGACGATGACGACGGCGACGACGACGACGACGACGACGACGACGGCGATAACGACGACGACGATGACGACGCCGACGACGACGGCGACGACGACAACGTCGGCGGCGACGACGACGACGACGACAACGACGACGAAGACGACGACGACGACGACGGCGGCGGCGCGACGACGACGGCGACGGCGGCGACGACGACGACGGCGACGGCGACGATGACGACGGCGACGGCGGAGGCGGCGTCGACGACGACGACGACGACGACGGCGACGACGACGACGACGACGACGGCGACGACGACGCCGACGTCGGCGGCGACGACGACGACGACGAAGACGGGGACGGCGAGGACGTCGACGACGAAGGCGACGACGTCGACGACGACGGCGGCGGCGACGACGACGGCGGCGACGGCGACGACGACGACCTCCAGAGCTCTCCTGGAGCACCACAGTACCACGCCACACACGCCACACCAGCAGCACCACACCACACCCACAAGGGGGGGCCATCCCCTTGTGAGGGGGGCCCCGATGGCATCAGCATGAGGGAGCGGGGGCCAGACCCTGGACCATACATGACCACCGCCCGGAGAGAAATTTCCGGGGGCCTCCGAAGGCGGTGGATATTGACACATTCGGGGCCCCATGGGCCACAAGATATGTCGATACCCACCGCCCGTTGGGGCACCAGAACCTCGGCTCCCAGGCGGTGGATGTGAATAAATCCCCGCCTCGTGGTTCTGAGAGGTCTCGATTCCCGACGTCGGCTGTGGAGCGTGGGCGGTCGCTGCGGGCGCGCGACACCACCGCCCCGTGGCCACCGCGGCGGTTGCCATGGCGAGTGCGGCGGGTGTCCGGCCGATCCTCGGCACCATGACCTTCGGACAGAGCGGCCAGGCGCTCCTCCCCGTCGTCCCGCCGCCTGCCCCTCCTCCGGCCTCCCCCCTCCGCCCCACCCCGTCGTCGTCTTCCTCCTCGCCCCTCGTCCTCGCAAACTTCTGCTCTCCGTGCCCTCTTCTCCTCCTCCTCCTCCTCCACCATCTTCTTCCCCTCCCCCTGCATGCTGACGGGACGGCCATCGCGGGATGCTCGTACGCAGGTCCGGTGGCGCGGGTGATGCTTGTTGGTGTGCTTGTCTGCGCGTCGCGCGAAAATCCATTGTCAAACCTTCCGCGTCATCGTTGACCATGTATCTCTCCAAGCGTTACGGGGGGGCCTGAAACTGTGAAGACCCAACTGACTCGGGCGTATTCGACGGTGGCCGAGGATGCTCAGAGCACGGGGGGGGCCCATCTCGTGGAACAAGGCAGGGTGCCTTCCCTCTAGCAGTTCGCTGGCTTCCACCATGGTTCCCCTGTTCCTGATGGGCCCAGAGGCTCGGTCAGAGGTCCACCGTGATCTGTGGGGTGACGCTGCGGACGGGAGGTTTCGGATGTGCTCGACTCCCAGCTCGTGCACCCCGCCCCTCGACGAGGCCAGGACTGAGCCAGAACGGGACCGGGACAGGTCGGGGACCCGTCGGGCGGCTCTGGAGCTATCCGCTGAGCGGTCCTCCTCCTCCTCCTCCTCTTCCTCCTCCTCCTCTTCCTCCTTCTCCTCCTCCTCTTCTTCCTTCCCCGCCTCCTCCTCCTCCTCCTCTTCCTCCTCCTCCTCCTCCTTCACGTCGTCCCTCCTCCTCCTCCTCCTCCTCCTCCTCCTCCTCCTCCTCCTCCTCCTCCTCCTCCTCCTTTTCCTCCTCCTTTTCCTCCTCCTCCTCCCCCTTCTCCTCCTCCCCCTCCTCCTCCTCCTCCTCCTCCTTTTCCTCCCCCTCCGGAGGCCGAGGGGGCCAGGGGCGGACAGGAGCTGCAGCTTCGCGCTCGCACTCGCCGGGCCCACCGCAGCGCACGGCGACCTCGGCTCTCCGAAACGGGGCCAAGAGAAGCTCGCCAAGCATTTCCGCTGGGGTGGAGGGCAAAGGGCAAAGTCTGAAATGCCGTGCCGATTGATTTTCTATTTTGGACTCTGCAAAGGGTGAATCGCGAGACGAATTCAGTTTCGCGGTGCACCCTGAGAACATGCTCAGGCTCGGCCAAGCGTCGGCGGTCCGTCGGGGGTGGCTCTGTGTGATTCCAGCATCTCGGGGGTGAAAGACGGCCGCTTTAGCGGGCTGGTGCTGGTTGCCGCGAAGGCAGAGGCCAGGTGGCCGAAAGAAGGAGCTTCCCTTTCGGGCTCGCGCTCGGGGTCTGCAGGGCGGAGTGGAGGCGCGACCCCCTCGTCCTCACCCCCCCTTGATAGCATCAATCAGTGCGGCAGTATTGTGTGGGCGTGTTATTTGGGCCGCGAAGTCCTGGACGCGCTCATGGAGCACGCCCAGGCCCAGGCTAAATGGGACGCCTCGACCTTAGGTCCCGTGAAAGGACCCAGTGCAGGCGCTGGCATTCACGATGAAAATAGTTTGGTGGAGCTTTTCGGGGGCTACAGGGGTGGTGGACGGCGGCGGTCGGGAGTGGGATTTGTTGTTCTATTCGCCGGCCTGCCTCGCCGTTCAAGTGGCCCAGGTAGCTCGCGTGGCGTCGGTCCGACGCGCCTGGGATGGACGTGCCTGTCTTTTGGACGCTCAAGCCCAGGATCTCATCCGGTTGAAGCCCAACTCGGACCGGGAGGCGCACCGCCAGAACGTCTTGCGAGGTCTCAATGCCGGGTCGCACTGGTGCCAGTTGCGACGACACCCACAGACCAACAGGATCAGGCGCTCCCAATCCACTGCCGGCTGTGCTCGGCTGGGTGCGGCAGTAGCTTTCACCGTGCGATTGTGTGTCTGGCGCAGGAAGCCCTGAGGCGCGATAGCCTCACGGACCTGGTCAAGATGGCCTCCGGGGGGCTGGCGTCGGCCCCGCAGGCGTGGCGAGATGGGTTTTCCAGGGGCGCGTCTCCCGATCCTGGACCAATCCAATCGCCTCTCGGGTGCCCCGAGTAGCCGTACGCTCGAGCGGACTGCCTCTGCCTCGCCGCCGACGAAAACCAAATCCGATCCTGGGGTTTTGCTTCGCGAGGAAGCCACTCCAGGCTGAGTGGCCCTGCGTATGGGTGGGAGCGGAATCCCCGCCTTCCTTCACGAAGGCGCTTCCGCCTCCTGTGAATGTTCATGCTTGGACGCGGTTTGTCGGCTAGCCGTTCTGGCCTGCTCTACGCGAAACTCTTCCACGTCTGAGCGCTTCCCCCTCCCCCTCCCCCCGCGTGGCCGCACTCGTCTGATTCCTCCCTCTTGCACGCCAGCCAATTCGCCTTTCGGTTGCCCCGAATGGCCACACGCTGGAGCGGACTGCCTCTGCCTCGCCGCCGTCGCACAAATCAGGACGCGGTTTTCACAAGTGTGCAAGTGGCAGGCTGGTCGCTCATGCCCTCTCTAATCTTCAGGAGCAGTTTGGTTTGATGCCCGTACGGCGCGGCGCCGCCCGAGGTCGGAGTGGGGCAGGCCGCGCGAGACGGCGAGCACTACCCCGTGGTCCAGTTGGGCCGAGTATGTCATTGGTACCCTCTCCGTGCATGTCGGCTGTCGTGCGCCCATCTCGTGGTGCCAGACGCCATGGGCCTCGCAGGCTGGCACGGATCTGCGCACTCCTGGAGGTAGGCGCACTCGCGCGATGCTATTTGCGCAGAGAGAGGCTTCGCACACCTGGAAGCACCGCATGAAATCAGGGCTGCCCGCCTCCAGCGTGAGGACAGTGCCCTTGCCGACCAGTAGGCCAAGACGGGGGCTGCCCCAGCCCGTTCGGAGCTCAGCGACGCGCGTGCCCTGGAAGGGTGCAGGGCTGTGGCGCCTCGGGCAGGCAGGTCTGTTGCCCCCCTCGGAGCAGAATGCCCGACCTGGCAATCAGAGACCATCCGGGCTGAGTCTGCAGGAGAAGGATGGATCTTGCTGCTTGGCCCCCCGATGTGCCCCCGCCTGGGTCTGATCCTGGATTTTTGGGGGCGAGCCCGTGGGGGCCTCTCCGAAGGCTCGGAGACCGGGCCCTCCGGAGGAACTGCTCCCGGGGGCCAGTGGCTCATCCAGGACCACAGGTTACCAGCCTCGAACGTATCCCTATCCCTAAGATTGACACGCAAAAAGGCGATGACAATCTTAGGGATTCGCCCTAAAAAATAAAGGAATCCCTAAGAGTGGCATCGTGATGAGGAGGTGCCCAGCATAGGGATAGGGATATGTTCCAGGCTGGTAAGCAGGGTGGTTTTGAGGTGCCCGTGGAAGACGGCAAGTCCAAGCCCTAGCCTTTTTTTTTCTGGCGAGGGACAGACGGATTCAGGTGCGTGGATTCGCGAAAGTCCAGCTTCCATGCGGCCTCGGAGAGTCCGTGCTCGCGAGCGCCCGAGTTTCGCTGCTCGTGCGCTGCGTGTTCCTGCCCAGCGGGGGCTCCGAGGCCTGTGCTCCAGTTGTCGTCTCCTCGCTGGAGGCAAGGCCCCGACTGCGCGCAATGGCCTGCGAACCTCGAGGCACCCCGCTCGTCCGGAGGTGGCCCCGGGGGGGATGGCGGGCCGTCGTCGCTGTCGCCGCGGGCCCGCCCGGCGGGCTGCTTCGGGGAGTCCGTGGCCGGCGAGCCAGTGGCGAGGGGACGGATCTCGCCGCTTCTGCTCGGAGGACGCTGCCGCGGGGGGGTCGGGTCTTGGGGGCCCGAGTGCACAGGTACCCGTGCGGCCGGTTTCGCGGGTCGCGGCGAGGCAGGGCGGATCGGGGCGCCAGCCCTGGGAGGCACGGGGCTCGAGGCACGCGCACGTCGCGACGCCCAGCCCGACGAGGCGCTCTCCAGGGAGTTTCGCAGGGTGCGGGGCGCCCCGTCGGCGGGGCGCGGCCGGGGTGGAGCGCAGCATCGGGCGGGGAGTCAAAGGTCCTCTTGGATGGGCACCCCGCCCCAGTGTTCCGCCTTCTCCTTGGCGCCTCCCTTTCTGTGCGTGGAACCTCCTCCTCCTCCTCCTCCTCCCACGGCGTCCTCCTCCTCCTCCACCTTCTCCGCGCGCGCAGGAGCGCACGTGGGACGATGCATCGTGCGCGAAGATGAGTCTTTCTCCAGCTGACTTCGAGGAGGGGGGCGGGGGACTCGGCCTGCTGAGCTCGGCCAGACGGGTGAGATCCCTGCAGCGGGGCGCTGCATTTGTTTCGCTCCGGGTGTCTGGATCCCAGAATATCGCACATCGATCCAGTTCGATCAATGCCGCAGAACGGTGGGGTATAGAGGGTTCCAGTCATGATTTCTCGCGATGCCGTGTGTCCCCTCGATGTCGGATCTCAGGGGCCTCCTCCTTCGTGCGCTTCGGGCTGGACAGAAAGAGTCGTGCCCTTCGGGCTGGACAGGAAGAGAGGGAACCAAAACGGGGGGGGTCGAGATCTCCGGGATGCAGCTGGCCTCGGGCCAGTCTTCGACACACGTGTGCGCCTCTGGCGCCACGAGGCGTGGGGAAAGGCAGCTGGGCGAGCTGACTCGCTGACCCCACCTTCACTATACAGGGCCGTGTTGAATACATGCTCCGCGTGCGGATCATGTATTAAACATGCAGGGATTCAGTATTAAAAAGAACGATGAGTTCATGCATAAATTCATCCATACAGTACTCATGTATTAAACAAATCCGATCTTTTTTTTGATAAAAAATCATATGTATTAAAAACTGCGCTGTACCGCTCGCTCTTGCGCAGCCCGTGGCACTCCTCCTCGGCCTCCCCCTCCAGCCCTGCGCCAGAGCCCGCGTGGCTGCCCCTCTGGCACGCTTCTGCAGGTTTATGCGCGCCGAGGACCACGGCGCTGCGACCTTTCGGTCTGCTCGAGGCTGAGCTGTCACGTCTCCAAGCTCTTGGATAGAGAGAGAGAGAGAGAGACGAGGCGGGTCGGAAGAGGACTCGGACCCGTGGTCCGACGGAGGCGACCTCTTCTAGCATGCGCTTGCGCAGAGCGCGACCCACAAAAGACCTCCTTCTCCTCCCTCTCCCCTCTCGGTCGTGTCGTCCCGGCGTCGTCGGTCGTCTCGGCGTTCTCGGAGTCGTCTTCTGCCTGCCCTCGCGGGTCCTCACTCCTCTTGCGGGGCGCGCAGCATCCCCCATCCCTCCACCAGAGGCCGTGCTCGAGGATATTTTCCGGCTTCTCTGACGCATTGCGTTCTGGTGAGGCTTCGGGTTGCGCGCGGACGCCCCCCCCCCTGTGGTCCTGACCGGCCTCGACGGGCCCCCCGAACAGTCCCAGCTGGCCTCAGCAAGCCCTCTGATATCCGACGAAGGCATCTATACACCACCACCGTGCCAGGCCAGTGCCATCCTGGGTTCCAGGATGGTGTATAGACCCTCCTGGCCTCGGCCAGGATGGCGTATACACCATGCCAGGGCCAAGATGGCCCTGGCCTGGCACAGTGGTGGTGTATAGATACCTTCTGCGTATGAGAAGTCTTGGGCGGTCTCGACACCCTGGCGCCGCCTCCGCCGGCACCCGCGGGGCGCTCCGCCGCCCCAGGGCTGAGGTGTTGAGACCGCCCAGGACTGCTCGGAGGACCTGTTGAGGCCAGCTGTGCCACGGGGGGCCTGTTGAGGCAAGCTGTGATTGCCTGGGGAGGGGCTTTGGCAGCACCTCCACGGGACATGTGAGAGAGATTCGGCTGCAGCTCGTGACCGAGCTTGGCAGCGCATGCCAGGTGTAGCCGTGGACGACAAATGCCCGCCCCCCTCCTCCGAGGTCAAGGAGGGCGACGCTGGCGTGGTCCTGCGGTCCTTCTGCGGCTCTGGGGCCGCCAAGGGCCCGGGGGGAGCCCTCGTGGACACGGCGCGCATGCAGGGGGCCAGGAGGTCCTGTGCGGGGCGCTCCCTCAGTCGGGGGACGGCCTCGGGGGGAGGACGCGGTATATGTACCGACGCCGCCACCGCTTCCCGCAGGGCCTTCGCGGCCACGGCTGGATTCGCTCTGGAGCCCCTGGTCAGAGCTCCCGCCGGGCGAGGCCTGGGTAGAGCGCAGGCATCCATGGAGGTTGCCCCCCCATGGCCCGAGGCCTCCCCCATGGCGCGATGCCATATGGCTGCGGCCGCCTCGATTCCAGAGTCACATCGGTGCGATCCGACTAGAAGCAGTGCGGCCCGAGTCGGTGTTCGACCCGATCCAGCACGTCTCTGCGATTCGAAGTTGCTTGGTCCTAAGGGGAGGGGGAGGAGGAGGAGGAGGAGGAGGAGGAGGAGGAGGAGGAGGAGGAGCGCTTGACAGCGTAGAACTTTCTGACCTTACACATCGTCCTGGGCCCCCCTCTTCACGGCCCCCTGCATCGGCGCACCCCTCGAGAGGAGGAGGAGAAGGAGGAGGAGGAGGAGGAGTGGAGGAATGGAGGAGCAGGACAAGGAGGAGCAGGGAGTGGAGGAGGTGGAGGAGTGGGGGGTGGGAGGAGGAGGAGGAGGAGGAGGATGAGGAGGAGGACGAGGAGGAGGGGACGGGCGAGAAGGAGGACGAGGACGAGGAGGAGGAGGATGAGCGCTTCACTGCGCAGAGCTCCCTGGCCCCACACATCTACCAGTCCGCCGCCGGCGTGGAGGGCGACACGGAGGCCACGCTCGGCGGCATCCTGGCGACGTTTCCTTCCTGGGGGAGCACAAGCGGCACGCCTCTGTGAGCAGGTGGGGTCGGGGGATCACGCCGCATCGCCGTTGCATCGTTGATGCGGCTCGATGTTGGGCCTGATTTTCTCCACGCCAGCGTGGCCGATGCGTCGCCGAAGTCGCCAATACATCGCCGATGCGTCAGCGATGAGGTGCGATCCTCCGACCTGCTCGGACCCCATGTGGGAGGTATCCATCCTCGCCTCCCCCTCTTTCCCCTGCTGCTGCTCAGGAGGCGTCCTCTGGGTGAGAAATGTCAGCGTGAGCTTGATCTTGGTGAGGTCCGCTCGGATCTGTATAATCCGAAGAAGAAAGAAGCCGTAACCATAAACTTTTGGCGCTCTGCGCGGATTTCTTGCATCCGCGCGCAGCGCCAAAAGCTTATGTTCTATTGATCTGCGCGGGAGCTTGGCTGCGCCTCTGGCGCCTTCATGCTGCGCTCCGCGCCAGGACGAGGGAGCCAGCGCAGATTCAAGAGATCTGCCTGGACCTCCGAGCGCTTACGCGTAGATAGTTGTTATCCTCCCTTCCACTTCGTCTTCTCACCCCTGCTGCTGCTCAGGAGGAGGAGGAGGAGAAGCCCCCCACCGCCTCTTCAGAAGGCCGTCCCGCTCGCGCCACCCCGTGGTGCGCGACACACGCGCACACGCACACGCACACGCACACGAGCACACGAGCACGCCCACGCACACGCAGACGCACACGCCCACGCAAATACGCACACGCGCACGCACACGCGCACGCACACAAACACGCACACGCACACGCACACGCAATCACACACGCACACGCACACGCAATCACACACGCAGCCACAGGCGCACGCACACGCACTCTTACACGCTCGCGCACACAACTACGCACGCGCGCACACGCACACGCACGCACACACACACACACACACGCACACGCACATCACACGCACACCACACGCACACACATGCACACGCACACACACACACACACGCATACGCACACACACACGAACACGCACACGCGCACGCGCAGACACACACACACACACACGCACACACACACACACACACGCATAGGCACACGCACACACACACACACACACACACGCCGACGCATACACGCACACGCACACGCACCCGTAAACGCACACGCATACGCACGCGCATTCGCACACACGCACACCACACACGCACACGCACACGCACACACACGCACACGCACACGCACACATACACGCACGCACACGCACACGCACACGCACTCGCACACGCATACGCGCACGCACACGCACATGCACAGCACACGCACACGCACACACGCACACGCACACAAACACGCACACGCACACGAACACGCACACGCACATGCTCACGCACACGCGTACAAACACGCCCACACGCACACGCACACGCACTCGCACACGCACAAACACACAAACACGCACAAGCACACGCACACAAATTCGCATACTCACACGCACACGCACACACACACCGACACGCACGCGCACACGCACACGAGCACGAGCACGCACGCACACGCACACGCTCACGCCAGGCACGCAGACGCACACGCACACACACAAGGACACGAACACACACACACACACGGACACATACACGCACACGCACACGCACACGCACACGATCACGCAACCTCACACACGCACACGCACACGCACACGCACCCTCACACGCGCACGCACACGGACACGCGCAAACACATTCACGCGCACACACGCAAACACGCACAGGCAGACGCACACGCACACGCGCACGCACACGCACACACACGCACACGCACACGAACACGCACACGCACACGCACACACAAAGCACACACACACACACACACGCACCCGCACACGCCAGACACGCACACACGCACACGCACACGGACACGGACACGGACACGACCACACACACACACACGGACACACACGCACACGCATTCGCACACGCACACGCACACGCACACGCGCACGCACACGCACACGCGCACGCGCACACGCACACACTCACGTACACAGGCACACACTCACACGCACACGCGCACGATCACGCAAAAGCACACGCACACGCCACGCACACGCACACACACGCAACACGCACACGCACACGCACGCGCCGACGCA